GCTGAAGTAAAAGTCTTTTCACACTCAAAGCACATGTACTCTCTCACACCAGTATGTAATGGTCTTTGGTCTTTTAAATATTGTAAACATGAAAAACTCTTTCCACACAAAGAACATGAATGTGGCTTGTATGAACTATGAACTCTCAGGTGCTGCTTCAGGTCATAAGCTCTCAAAAATGTTTTGCTGCACTGATCACATGAAACTCTTTCCACACTGAGTGCAGGTGAAATATTTCTTGTCTCTTTTTTTCTTTAAATCTTTCTTTGGATCTTTGGTTTGAGAGCAGCTCAAGGGTTTTGCTCCAGTTTTGACATGATTTTTCTCCTCAACTTCACTTGATTCTTCACTCTCCTCATTTTCTTCAATTGACTCTGCAATTAAATAAAAAATGGTTCTTTTTTTAGTAACTCATAAAAAATAAACTGAAAGGACATAAAAATTAACCCTGATATAATAGAGGAAATAGGGCTGGACGATATGACCTAAAATCAAAACCTCAATTAATTGAACACTTTAACTCTATTATAATTACTGAATGATTGTTTTATTTTTAACATTTGTTTATATTCTAAATTGTAAAATAAATTTAATTAAATTAAATTAATATAAAACATCAATTTGTAAATGCACCAGTGTGCACACATTTCGCGGCGATGACTTCATCACTAGCGCGCGGTCACTCCGTCAGCGTCGAGTCTTCTGAGGAGAGGTGAGTAGATCTAGCTATTTCACTTATTTAACTGTTAAATACACTTTACACAGTTTGTTTATGCAGCATATACGAGGTCCTTTCTGCCTTGTTATCATCGAGTACAGCACTGTTTGTGTGTTTGCCGACTTAAACGGTTTGTTTATGCAACATATACGAGGTCGTTTCTGCCTTGTTATCATCGAGTACAGCACTGTTTGTGTGTTTGCTGACTTAAACACTCAGAACAACATGTGAGGAAAACATAAGTTCATTGAGACCTGAGTGATTTTGTGTTTTTGTGTGTTCGTGTGAATGATTGTTTCGATGTTTGTAGTGCTGATAATGTTACTGTTACTGAATGTCTCGTGATCTGTGAGAGGAATGAATGCAAACCTATATCAAGTTTTGCTGCTGCTATTTTTTATAACATTTCTCTTTTGAGGTTTATCTTTCGCAGATCAAATTTGTTATAGTTACTTTATGTGGTTAAAATTAAGAAATGTGTTATTTTAAAATTCTTTAAAAACATATTTTTGATCAGTAGTATTGTTCCATTTTAAAAACATATTTTGATCAGTAGTATTTGTTCATTTTTTCTTTGGTTTGTTTCCTAAAATTTCTGCTGAATTGTAGGCTTTTTGCAGCTTTTGATGTGGATGGTTGATTTGCTGCTAAAGTTGCTGCTGCCCTAAAAAGAAGAAAAATAAAGACTGACATGTTAATTTAACCTAAATCTGTAAATACAGTTTAATTGTAGTTGATCTTTTAATTAAAGTACTCTTGCAAAAACTTGTTTTGTATATATAT